CTTTTTATGAAGATAAGTAGACGTTGTGTAGATTCCTGTTTATTTTTTGAGGGAGGAATTTATGTTAAGCTTTTTTGTTTGCTTCAATATTTTTTTTTCCATCAGTTCAACTAGAACGTCAAATAAAACAGTTATAAGAAGTAGACGAGTTCTAAAACTTTTTATTTTTAGTTTGACTGCTGTCTTCTGTTCTTTTTGCTGTCTTCTGTTCATTTTTTTTGTGTGATATTTTCTTCATAGTACACTATTTGTAAAATGTACCGTGCCATTAAAATCACTATTTAAGTTTTGTTTGTTTGTTTTTGCATGCACCATCTTTCCGAATCACTTCGAAGCACCAATCACTTCCATCTTTCCAATCTGCATTATTTTTGCACCTCACTATTCTCTGCTTTCATAATTCTTTTCAAAGTATTTTTCAGTAGTGAACTGTAAAAGGTTCAACCAGGCGCTCGTAAAGTTATAAAATACGTGATAGGTGCTCTTGGGGTAGGGAAAAGATCCAAAGAAACGAAAAGCAGGTCCCAGACACACATATTTTGTGTTACTTTGCCCTGAAGAAGACATTTTAAAATGATTTAAGCCATACTAAATAAAGGCTTTTTAACTTTATCCTTCTCCTCATTGAAAACTTGACTGAGTGCCTGGGACCTGCTTTTTGTTTATTTTTCAGTAGTAGTCAGTTTAAACAAGGTAAGTAAAGACTTGACTTCAATAATTTTTAATCATTACAGATACTTTTTTACTACAAGAAATTAAAATCAGTAGAAATTTTAATGGAATAATGTTCATAAAACATTTCTTAGGTTTAATCATTCAAATCAGTTATACATTTTATTTATTATTCAATACCACCAGTTACTTAACTGTAGCTTATTTGTTAACGTGTTAAATGTAGTTACAATTAAACCCTCAATCCTTGCTCTCCCACAATGAAGGTAGATTACATTTAACATAAGATCCTTTCAGATATGTAATTTTATAAATCCATATATTTTTCTAAGTGTATATGAAATTATATGTTCTATTATTATTTACATCCTATTCAATCCTTCTTTCAAAAGTTTTATTTGCAGTAAAGTGATACGTTTCTGCATGGAAAAAAAATCATTTGACAGCCTAAAATAACTACGACCTGAAAGCAAGCCGTGAGTATTGTTCTAAATTTGAACCTGTGTTACTTTCAGGAGTTAAGTAAGACATACTTCATAATTGGGGAAAAGTGGAAATGATATGAATGAATGCCCTGCAAGGCCTGCTCCAGGAGCTATATTTGGAGAAATGTGATCTCTGGTCCCATGACTTAAAAGCAGAGGAGGAGAGCACTTTGCCTTATGGCACCTGTCACTTTTAGATCACTTTAGACTTCATTTATGTTTTTTATACAAAGTCAGAGACTAAATGAAAATGTGTAACAGCAACACCGATATATTTGTCAACATTAATCCAGTCATTACTGGCATTGAACATTCCACAACTGAAACTATTATTTATTTAAAAATTTTGAAAAACTGGCTTTTTAAAACAACACATTAAATTAATTTTACAAAATAAATACATTAATAATTTTAACATTTGATTTATACGGAGTCCCTAAAGGGACATGGCAATGGAAAAAATATATTTCAATGCTCTCGCGTTCACTCGCAAAACTCGGTTACGTATGTAACCTTGGTTCCCTGAGTCCTAAACCTACGTGAACCGGAGGTCCTGTCCTGAACTGACTTAGACAGCTCTGTAATGACTAAACACTGCAAGAGACGAAGTGCCCGAATCGTGCGAGAATCCAACTCCACGCCCAGAAAAATCGTTTGCTGAAGTGGTAGCAACACACTCTTTTGAAGGTTTATGCAGTCGTAGGCTCCTCAAATGATTGAGCACCAAGTCTCAATGAACTACAGTACTGCCAATTCCTGTGATTGAGCTAATATCAGCCAATCGTCCAGGTTGACCTAGAGCTGCAACGGGGCCAGAGCCGCATCCATACACTTTGTGAACGTTCGAGTAGCCAGAGCCAGTCCGAACGGAAGAACATGGTATTGGTAAGCTTTGCCCTAGAAAGGGAACCTGAGGAACTTCCTGTGCCTCTTGACGATCTGGATGTGGAAGTACGCATCCTTTAAATCGACAGTCACAAACCAATCTCTGGTTTGGGAAGAATCCCACTGAAAGGAGGTGGGCCTTTCCGAAATTGGATGGTGTAACCGTGCCAAACGGTATGTAATACCCACTGCTAGATCTCGGGCAGGCTTTGCCACGCGGCCAAGTAATCCGCCAGGGGCCTTGACCGTTATATTTTTGGAAACTGCCAAACCACAGGTACCAATACATCTTCTGATTTTAGAGACCCTCTGGTGTCTGCAAAAACAGGAAGGACATGTGAAGAGACCACATTTGATCTTATCAATATAGACTGATCTCCTTGCATAGGACCCCGAGGCACATGAGTGACGGGAACCTCTAAAACAGGAAGCTGTCCAATCGCCCAATCGGGCTGAGCCACCACATCGACAGTGGGAGCTTTAAGCGCCGTCATAAACGGGCCATGCGCACATGACCCTAGGGCTTTTTTACGAACTCTGAAGGCTGGGATGCACGGAGTATCTGAGGCATTGCTTGTCGAGAGGGCTCAGCCTAAAACCGCCTGAGGCGCAATCTGCGGTGGGATGGTTAAAACCGGAGCCAGGAGGCCACGATGAGGGACCTGTCTATTGCCCAGGCAGTAGGCTTGGTAGCTCTCAGCGCCAAGTCAGTAGCCCATCTGAGCTCCTTAAAGGGATAGTTCACTTTGAAATTAATTTTTGGTATGTTTTAGCTTACCTCAAGGGCATCCAAGATGTAGGTGTCTTTGTTTCCGCAGTAGTTTCAATTTTGATATTTTTAGGTCAAACCGTTCTTGTCTGTCAGTCATATAATGCAGGTCTACGGTCACTTCCTCAAAGAGCATGCACAGAGAAGTCCAAATTAATCATGATTTAATGACGCGTAAATGTAAGTACACATTGATGGCCTACGACATGAAACGCGCGGTTTGTGTGAGAAAACGAACAGTATTTATATCGTTTTTACCTCTTGTAAACACAGCCACGTCCAAGTGATCTGACGGCGCCGGCGGTTCGGTCTTTTCCGGAAAGCACCGGAAGTGATCTCTCGCGCGTGTACGTCACTCATTGTTTACACAGAACAGAGATTGTAGGTAAGACGGCTAATTAAAATGGTACTAATTTGCGCTTATCCGGGATGTTTAAACCGTCGTAAAAGAAAACAATAAAAAAAAAAATTAAATAAAACAATTGTATGAGTGACGTACACGCGCGAGAGATCACTTCCGGCGCTTTCCGGAAAAGACAGAACCGCCGGCGCCGTCAGATCACTTGGACGTGGCTGTGTTTACAAGAGGTAAAAACAATATAAATACTGTTGGTTTTCTCACACAAACCGCTCGTTTCATGTCGTAGGCCATCAATGTGTACTTACATTTACGAGTCATTAAATCATGTTTAATTTGGACTTCTCTGTGCATGCTCTTTGAGGAAGTGACCGTAGACCTGCATTATATGACTGACAGACAAGAACGGTTTGACCTAAAAATATCAAAATTGAAACTACTGCGGAAACAAAGACACCTACATCTTGGATGCCCTTGAGGTAAGCTAAAACATACCAAAAATTTATTTCAAAGTGAACTATCCCTTTAACAGCCTCTGGAGTCAGACCCTCTCCCTTGTCAGACCCTTGTCCCGCCTCTCCCATGGCTGTCGCCTGTCCAGCGGCCATGTAAGATTTTCCGACTAAAGCAGAAGTAATACTAACACGGCTTGGATGGCAGCAGGGGCCGTTACTTCCAAGTCAGAGTCGGCGCAAGATGGGCCGCGAGAGTCTCTTCCATGACCGACATCGCCACGTAACCTTGCTCTGCCATCTTGGAAACAGTGGCGAAGTCAGCGGCAGTGGGATTAGTAAACTGCGCTGAAAATGGCTGCTTCCAAGACCTTGATACCTCATGGTGGAGGTCTTGTAAGAAGGGGAGAGGCTTATGGGGCTGGGCTAGGGCTGCGGCTGGTCAAAAATCGGTCATCTAGATAGGCCCTTAACCGCCGCCTGAGCATGCTGAAGGCCCAAACATTGCATGCATCTGTCATGAGTGTCTCCTGCGATTAACCTGTCACATGGATCGAAACATCTCCTAGCTCATCATGTCCGCTTGAGAGGAGTGAAAACTGCTCTGAAAAGTATGAACAAGAGAAAGACCGCTTTCTTATGGGCAACAGAAGATTCGCTTCCTGAAGAAAATGAAATCTGATGAGATAGCACGTATTCTCGGGGCGGTGCTAAGCGCTACTGGCCAATGAAATGGCGTAATGTTATAAGGGCTTCAGACATTCGTCACACCGAAGGTGTTCACATAGCGACGGCTATCGCAGCGTTGAGTGAACCTATGAAAGGCAACCCGCATTCCCTCGCAAAACCTTAGTGTTCTTTCAGAGCAGACGCGAAGTTTCTCGGGGGAATGTAAACATTTTGCGAGTGAACGCAAAGTTTCTCTGGGGAACGCAAAAAAATGCAAAATCATTGACAAGTAATTTTCCCCCCTATATCCGTAGTATGGAACCTCTAAAGTACGGAGCTCCTAAAGGGACGTGGTGGTGGAAAAAAATCTGGGATGGGAGGGAAAAAAAATATTTCAATAGTAAAGGTTTTGTGAGCAAACGAAAAGTTTCTCGGGGGAACGCAAATAATTTGCAAAAGAACGCAAAAGCATTTTTCCTCCCATCTATTTTTTCCCACCACCATGTCCATTTAGGGGCTCTGTAGATTTTAGCAACAGCATTTGTCATACTACAAACTCACTAAAATGTATGTTATCATCATTAATAGAATCCCATGTCTTCATGGCTAGCTCATAACCTGTCCTTTGTTGTTGTTTTAAAGCAAATAAGCCTGGATAGATAGTTATTTTTATGCTAATTTTATTCATCCTGCAGAAGTGGATTTTCAAGTGAATTGTAGTAATTAGAGCCCTGCACGTTCATATCATAACCAGACGGTGGCAGCACAGTCTTTCTGGTTAGGCTTATCTGTTCACTCCATGGTGGAAAATTGTTTTTGTACATATCCACATACACTGTAAAAAAAAAAGATTTTTCAAAGTTGTAAATAAAACAAAGATTATTGGAATATGATTTACAAGAACATATTATATTTCAGTCCTTCTACTTTCAAATTTCACATTTAATTTAGTGTTACTTTCTGTTTCTTAATTAATTGTAAAATTTACAAGTAAAAAATGCTTCACTCACCAATGTTTTTTTTCTGTGTAATATCAGTGACCCCCCCCATTTTTTACTATTGATATGAATCTGCCACTACAATTGTTTATTCCCATGAAAACTGTTTTAAACGTATTTGTTTGCTCATTTCAGGGGCTTAGGAGCGCGTCCTTGTCACCACCTGTTAGACTTTCAGCAGCAGGTCTCAGTCCAAGGTCGGTTTCATTTTCTCCATCACCAAGACCTGCATCACAACCCTCTTCTGTTCAGCCACAGACTGCCCGGCTAGACAGGGGTCACAAGCCTCCCAGCCCATGGGAAGCTGCCTCACGCCACCCATTGGGGCTCGTGGATGAAGCTTTTACATATCTGGACATTCAACAGTCTATTGCCTCCAACCTGCGCTATGCCGCTCAGACTAAGCTCTTACCCGAGCCCCCGGCCGAGTGGAAGGCAAAGGTTGCATATGAACCTCCACCGAAAAACCAAAAAGACAGTTTGAGTCCATCACCTCTGACTTTTCTGTCCCCAACCAAGAGCACAGCGTCGGCACCAGCTGGTCCCGTCCCATATGTATCACCCTTTAGACAGTGTCAACCCCAAAGGTCAATGACAGAAGCTAACCTTGGGGCTTCACAGGGTAATCTAACGAAAATGGGGCCTCATCGACTGAGACTCTATAAAGCCAAAGATAGCAGTTCTTGGAGACGTTAAAAGAAGCGCCGGGAAACCCTTTTCATGCAGGTCGCGAAAGTCAAATCAAACAGGGGGGTGTTTTGAAAGTGAGAAAAGTACAATTCTTAAGGCTACTATTAAACAGAAAGATACTGAAAGACAGAGAAGCTGATGTTGCAGAATGAGGGTCTGTGAAAGTCAGAAGACGGAACTATAAATTGATAGAGTTTTTTTACGTTTGATAGACAGAGTGTTACAACTGGCTTTTAAAAACTCACACTTACAATACAATACAATAATGTAATCTAATTTTGATTAGTGAATATGCATCCCTTGTGAAAAATAAGTACACTTTAGCATACTTTAAAAAAAAAAAGGAAATAATATACTCTAAAAAATATATACTTAAGTGCACCTAACTGCAAGTTGATTGCATTTTAATGAAAATGTATTATAGTTAAAATTTCTATTAAATGTAATTAGCTTAACTTTGGAGTGTTTTTGACCACTTAAGTAGTCATGAAAGTGCACTCTTTTAAGGACACAAAGGGATAGTTCACTTAAAAATGAACATTTTGTCATTAATTACTCACCCTCATTTAGTTCCAAACCCGTAAGACTTTCGTTCTTTTTTGGAACACAAATTAAGATCTTTTTAATAAAATCTGAGAGTTTTCAGTCAGTCCATTGACAGCTACACAACTGACACTTTGACACTACAAAAAGTTCCTGAAGCGATTGTAAACTAATCCATATTAACTGAGCCGTCAAGATTATCTGAAGAGACTCAATCACTTTCTATGATGAACATATTGAATCAGATCGTGTCTCTTCAGAAAATTTGGACTAAACCGCTTAATTCATATATATTATTTTTACGATCTCTTTATGAAGTTTTTGAAGCATCAAAGTGTCAGTGTAGCTGTCAATGGAGGGACAGAAAACTCTCAGATTTCATCAAAATCGAATTTGTATTCCAAAGATGAACAAAAGTCTTGCATGTTTGGAACGAAATGAGGGTGAGTAATGACAGAATTTACATTTTTGGGTGAACTATACCTTAAGTGGCCTTTTATTTCATTAAAGGAGTAGTTCACTTTCAAATGAAAATTAGCCCATGATTTACTCACCCTCAAACCATCCTAGGTGTATATGACTTCTTTCAGACGAATACAATCGGAGTTATATTCAGTGGTGGAATGTAACGAAGTACAAATACTTCGTTACTTTACTTAAGTAAATTTTTCACGTATCTGTACTTTACTTAAGTAGAATCAATAGTGCATACTTTTTACTTTTACATCGTTACATTTTGCAGCAATTATTATACTTTCTACTCCACTACATTTCTACAACGTTCTGTTACATTTTCGTTAAATTTTCTGATCCGTTTTTCCCCTGCCAAAACGTCGTCCTGACCGTTCGTTCGTCGCACGTTTCTGTCTCACCAGTGAAGTTTGGTTGCCATAGTAGATATATCAACCCGGTCACACTAAATGCGTCTCTATAGCACGCAGTGTGTTTATCGTGCAATTTATACGCGAAAATTTGTTTTTACATGCATAGGAAACGCATTGGTAGGTTTAGTAGTGATGTGGGGTGCGTGTGTATTATACGTTTGGTTAGGATTAGTATGGCAAGCCAAGAGGTTCAGAATTACGCCATAAATTAATCGCGTTTACAGCCAAACGCCGTCATATATGGCGTTTTAACATAATATGTGTGTTTATATATATATATATACCGTATATAGTAAGCTTGATGTGTATATTGCCTAATTGCAAGCTTGTTCAGAAATGGTGACAAAAACTTAAAATATAACTGCTTTTCCATCATATTGAACATCATTATAGGAGTATTAGGTTGAATGAGTTAGAATTAACTGTTTTATTAATCATTAGAATATAGACATTAAGAGAATAAATTGTTATGCAAGTACTTTTACTTTTAATACTTAAAGTACATTTAAAATCAGGTACTTTTTACTTTTTACTTAAGTAGGGTTGTCATTGTGGTACTTCTACTTTTACTAAAGTAAATATGTCTCTGGTTATTTGTACTTTTACTTAAGTAATGAGAGTCAGTACTTCCTTCACCACTGGTTATATTAAAAAATATCCTGGCTCTTTCGAGTTTTTATAATGGCAGTGGATTGAAACCATAAGGTTGAAGCGCAAAAACGTGCATCCATCCATCATAAACGAACTTTAAAGGCTACTAAAGGGTTAATAAAGGCCTTCTGAAGCAAAACGATTGTGTAAGAAAAATATTCATATTTAAAACTTTATAAAGTCAAATAATAGCTTCCGGCCAAACGAACATACGGATTCCACTTAAGTGTAAAGCGCAACTAATGCGATTAATGCGACGTACTGCCCATGCGTACTGCCGATATTTACGCTACGCCATGACGCACGTCAAGTTTCGTAAGTTGCGCATGAGCGGCAAGTAGACTGCATATGTCCATTTGAGCAAAAGCTAGAATTTTACTTTGTAACGTGTTAAATATGAATATTTTTCTTACACAAACTCCTCGCTTTGCTTCAGAAGGCCTTTATTAACCCCCCGGAGCCGTATGAAGTTTCTTTATGATGGATGGATCGGATGCACGTTTTTGAGCTTCAAACTGATAGTTGCAATCCACTGCCATTATAAAACTCGGAAGAGCCAGGACATTTTTTAATTTAACTCCAATTGTATTCGTCTGAAAGAGGAAAGTCATACACACCTGGCTTGAGGGTGAGTAAATCATGGGCTAATTTTCGTTTGAAAGTGAACTACTCCTTTAATATCATATTATCTGCAAGTAAAGTTTTTAAAAAATATATACTTTTAAGATTTAAAATAGGCTACACTAAAACGTGCACATTCAGTTCACAAAAGTTCACTTCTTTTTCACAAGTTTTGCACTAATGAATGGGGTAAAGTTATACATGCATGATCATGATACATGCTAGAGAAATAACAAAACATAATAGGTCTTCAAAATACGTAATTTCTAGTATGAGACACATTTCAGAACTCTCCGTATTTAATTAGCCGCACTTTTTATATGAATAGTTCTGACTATGATTCTAGCTGTCATCACAACTGAAGCACCCTATTACTGAATTATTTGAATGCAGCAATTTAAAGGGATAGTTCACTTCAAAATTAAAATTCTGTCATCATTAGACGTCACGCCCACGGAATGTTGGCTAAACGTCTGATGCATATGGTACACTTAACTGGAAACACTTCAGGAATGTCGAAGTCGTCATCTGATTGGTTGAATTTTATCGGATTTCCGGGGGCGCGAGTGTCGCGTTTATTTTCGGTCCGCCGGGAAACAAAGTGCAGACGTGTGATTGCGGAAGAAAAACTGTTGTGTTTACATGAGTGACAATGAGCATTTATCAAGATCAGCTAAACGTAGGATTCTCAAAAGTATGCGAGGTTCACGGCATAGACTCTTGAAGTGTTCTTCACCTTCTTTGATTTTCTATGCTGACTGACTTGTTGCACGCTGGTCTGTTGTTGTGGGGAGATTTCCACGCCCCGAAACGTGACGCTGAACGAAACGATCTGTAATTGGTTGTTTTACATGTCGGTCAAACGGCCTTATGGGCGGGCCTTGGCCAAAGAAAGCTGCTATGAATTCCAGACCTTCAGCCGTCAGTCTGAAGGTCTGGCTACGCGAGACTATCATTTACTCACCCTCAAGTTTTTTCAAACCTGTTTGAATTTCTTTCTTCTGCTGAACACAAAGGAAGATATTTTGAAGAATGTCAGTAACCAAACAGTTGACTGGACCCATTAACTTCCATAGCAGGAAAAAAAAAATACTATGGAAGTCAATGGGTCCAGTCAACTGTTACTGACATTCTTCAAAATATCTTCCTTTGTGTTCAGCAGAAGAAAAAAAATCATACAGGTTTGAAACAACTTGACCGTGAGTACATGATGACAGAATTTTCATTTTGAAGTGAACTATCCCTTTAAATTACTGCATTCAAATAATTCAGTAATAGGGTGCTTCAGTTGTGATGACAGCTAGAATCATAGTCATAAAATTAGAGAAAGAAAGAAAATCATTTTGTTTGTGACTGTGCTACAAAGCTATTAGGCAGAAACTGTTGAATCAGTAACAGTCGTACTTGTTACATAAGCTTCACTAGAAAAGATTAAATCACTCTTCAGTGACCCGGTCTGACCCTTTACCACATGCCCTGTTGCCCCAGACTCGGATTCAACAAATTCACTACTATTTGCTTAAAAAAAAAAAAAAAAAAAAAAAAAACGAATTTAATGAACATTCCTTAAATGTATTTTGCAGTGAAAGTCTGTGGGTTCTCATATGTGACAATGCATGCTCTCAATCCACTTAAAAAATACATGATACTAATTTGCACTGAGTTGTTCATGCTTATATTTCTTCATTCAATGACTAAATGTTTCTATGAGAAGGATATCAGAAAGCTCAAATTTGACATGTTTTTGTCAAGATATGTTTTGTAGTTTGATAAGTTATCAAATATGTTTGGATATTTCTTGAATTGTCGAGTGCATCATCTGACACAGAGTGGAGCAAGCAGCTCGCTTATACTGTTTTGCCCAAGTATAGCTCAGTATTAAGTAGCTTGTTTGACACACTCTACTGCTCCACTTTATGTATGTGACTGACATAAAACCATGCTTGCGCTTCTATTAAAGTAACATGTGTAGAAATCTCTCTGCATATAGGTGTTTTTTGAAATCTTTGTGGAGTTTTTTGGAGGGAAAAAGTATGCTGAGAGTCGCTTTCAGCCCAATAGTCTGTAACAAGTTAGCCGTCTGGTTATATAATGGCTTGGGAGGCCTGGCTCAACTCCCGAGCTTGTACTTGTCATACAACCAAACTATGTGGCAGCTGACATTGAAGACTGAACCGTGTTCAAAAAAGTTCTGCAATTAATCTGCTATTTGGGATATAGGCCTACTGTACACGGGAGGAAACATGTCAATTACAGTCAGCGTCGGCCATACCAGTTGCAAATAATTATTTATATAATAATAAGCATATTCATTACTTGTAAAAGTACAAGGAATTACACTTAAAAAAATATTTCCTTATGTCTTCGATCCAAAGATTGATTCCTTTACATGACAGATACTGTGTCTGGGAGTGACATTTTTATTTGTTGTTTATGGGAAGGATGAAGGAAATTAGAGTGTTAGAATGCTGGACAAAAACATTTACAGTAACTTCACATACACCATTAAATGAGTCATGACTTTCTAAGCTTCCTGCAGATAATGGTTCGTATTTGCTTAACTAGATCACAGATTATAAATGACTGGTTATTACTCTGGTCAAAGCTATGGGCTTTGAGAGACTACCCTTGTGAAAAAAAAGTGCACGTAATTGTATTGAATGTGCACTTCAAATTTGAAAGTATATATTTTTTTAAATTACATCCAGATAACATAACACATAAAGAGAGTATACACTTTCTTTGTTTCTTAACACACTTAAAGCAGCACTAAGTAGGAATTCCGTTTTTGTCAAACAGCGACCCCTAGAGTCGCTGTGGAGTACTTGTACTGTCGTGAATAGCACTCACGCAGAGATGGCTCGCACCTCGCACTCACCCCTCCCCCTGTACACTGGTACCTGTTCAGTAGGATAGAAGCTGTAACGAGTGGAAATAAGGTATGGCCCCTTTAAGAGCTGCGCGCGCCCAACACCACATGTATACGGCGCTGGGTTATTTCTGTTTGATGCTCATTTTATCCGAATTTTATTAGATCTGTTTTTTGCCGTAAAGCAATTCGTTACCTCGCGAGACCTGATATCACACGATACTTCCTAACACTGAGGCCGGCGGCTCGCCGGCCCAAAGTTGCAAGGGTGGTTTTGCGGCTCACAGGCACCAGGGGGGTGCGAGACGACCACCATTCAACACGAAATCAGTAATATAAACATTACAATGACTCCAAAGCTGTTCGGTTAAGGTCAAAAAGTTACTTTCACCTTTAAGTACACTTTTAAAAGGTGCACTTTATAATAATGTTAACTTACAAGTTTTACTTTAAAGTGCATGTTGCATCATTATGTTTTAATAATCTTTCGTTGTGCTTTAAAGTACACTAATTTTGATGTGTTGATTAACATATATTTGATTATAATATAAACTGTAGTAGGCTATGCTACGCAATATTACATTTAAAGTTAATAAGTTTTAACTGTACTAAATTGAAAGCTTCATCGTTATGTGAAATAAAAATATTACATACAAGTTTCAATAGAAAATACAATAAAGTGCATTTTAGTTGACCATAAATGCTTATAAATTCGACAGTACACTTTAATCACATTATAAAGACATTAGAAGTAATTATGAAATTACATATAAAGATGTTAAATGCTAATTGTAGCCTATTTAATATAAATGTAAACTGTAATGCATTTTAATTTAATTACAATTATAATGCACTTAAGTGTCTGAAAACATTAGATTGAGTTCGAACTTAAAGTATATGACTTTTTAAAAGTATACTTAAGTTTAAGACTTTTTCACTATTTATTGTATAACATTATATATATATTTATATATAACAAATCTAATTTTACATACTAACAAAATATGGAGTATTAAATGGTTACACTTTATTTTAAGGTGATGTTACAGTACATTGTACTTACTCAAATAAGTACTGAGTAATATTAATTAACTGACTATAGAGTTACCGTTTTGGCTTAGGGTTAGTTAATTGTAATTATGCATAATTTACTGTTATTCCTAGTAAGTACATGTGGTAATGTATACGTCACCTTAAGATAAATTATATCTATTAAATTATATAAAATGTGTTGTTATGAACATGCTACGGTAAGGTGTTTTATATCTTTGCTCCAAATCATGGCCATTGACCATGTTAACCAAAACTCAGAACTGAAACTCAAGAATGTCCCGCTAATGAATGAACTGTACAAACACAGTGAAGTCATAACCTGAGCAGACACCTGCTGTGTCCATTACACTCTAAAGTGTTAACGTATGTCTGTCTGTGTGTGTGTGTGATCAGCTCTATTAATAACCGCATGCTAGTTAAAACAGACAGACTAACAGCTGGCCCTCCCTCTGACACCCCTCTCCCCTGTAGTCCGCTCCACCAGAGTCCTTCAGTCCTGGTCAGAGAGGGAACAAGCACAGGTTGCACTGATCCAGACTGACCCCACTTACCTCTGTTAAAGGATACTGACACAACCTGACACATCGCAGGTAAGGAGCCCCTGCCTCAGGTGCTTATGCAGCAGGGATGTGTGGGTTGTGTGTACAGTGTGTTAAAAAGTTCTGTCAACTTTTCTGACTGCCATCATCAACATAATGATGTACAATAATGTCTCAAAGCAGTACGGTAAGGTCGCAGTCGTCACTAGCCCCGATAGACTGCATATGGGGCTGAACTGCATTAGCCTGTACTGATTATTCTGCTCATTTATGATATGTGCATGCTGTTGGCTTCACATGTTGATGTAGTTTGTGTATTTAGCAAATAAAACATATTGAGAGAATGAACTAAAAGGCCTTAGACTAAATATTGAGGTCAAGGTACAGTATACTCTACTAAAGGGGGAGGGGGGGACATGGTCCCTATAGAAAAAGAAGTACACTTTAGACTTTTTTTACTTTTAAAAAGAGTGTTTATTGCGGAAATAATATATTTGACATTTTAATAATATATTCAGCTGAATGAAATGTTTTTTGGCATGAAAGTACATGTTATTTACAATTAAATGAAAATGCATTAGTTTAAATTTATATTAAATGCAATTAGTTGGGTTTTTGACCCACTTAAGTAGGATTTAAGTATATATGTTATTTCACTTGGAATTCTACTCTCTTTATAATATTGTTAAAGTGTACTGCTAAATGCACTTGTGGTAAATTTAAAATATACTTTAACATAATTTAACCCATTTTGATATGTATTTAAATAGGCCTATATGCAATTGCACATTTGAAATGTATGAATTGAAATTGAGTACATTTAAAATATATTAACTTTAAACGTAATAATAAATAACAAACTGCAGGTCAAATTATAATCAAGTACATTACATGTGCTTTAGGATGTTAGTCAACCAATCAAAATAAGTGTACTTTTAAAGATAGTTGACATAATGACTTAAAGAGAGTGCATTTTAAGTCATTATGTCAACTATCTTTAAGTCATTTTAAGTACACTTAAGTGGCCTTTTTTGTCATAATTATTATCTGCAAGTAATTTTTTTTTAATATACTTTTAAGATTTAAAGTACACTAGTGCACATACAATATACACATAATTTCAAAATATAGATTTTTTTAACACGAATTCAGCCCTGAGAAGCTTTCCATCAGACATTACAGTCTTTATAACATGGTTAGCGAATAGCATGTAACAGCACAGTAATGGATGTGGACACACCACCTTTTCCCTGGTAATCCCGCACGGTGTGACATCACACCCTTCGGCTGCCACGTTCTCTCCAGTTGGGTCTCTATATCAGGCATATCGATTCACAGTCCCCTGCAGAACCACACAGGGGGCAATGCCTTCGCTCGGACGTCATGTTTAGTTGCTCTGGGTTATTTAAAGGGATGTGCTAGTGTCAGCCTTTCAGCAGGTCTAATAAATGTCACCCACTGGACTATGAATGTGATTATGAGTTTGTTTGTTTGTTGTGGTTGAAAATGTATAAGATTGCAAGGGGCAAAATGTTGTAGATTCACATTCCCTAACTTTGTTTTCCACAGACAGCATGTCTCAGCATACTCTGATGTCAACACAGGAGAGGAAAATGCAGGCTGCTGCTATTTGTAGAGAGATCCATGCCACTGATGGTACTACCATTGATTTATTACTAACCTGTGTGTGTGTGTGTGTGTGTGTGTGTGTGTGTGTGTGTGTGTGTGTGTGTGTGTGTGTGTGTGTGTGTGTGTGTGTGTGTGTGTGTGTGTGTGTGGTATAGTATAGTGTACACACACACACACACACACACACACACACACACATATATATATAGATACTAAAATGTATTTAGAAAATCTATTGTGCTTATCAAAGCTGCACTTATTTTAATGAATTTTAAATGTTACTTATTCCTGTGATGCAACGCTGATTTTTTCAGCATCATTACTCCAGTCTTCAGTGTCACATGATCCTTCAGAAATCATTCTAATATGCTGATTTGCTGCTCAAAAAACATTTCTATCAATGTAGAAAACAGATGTGCTAATTAATATATCTTTGTGGAAACTGATACTTTTTTTCATGATTCTTTGGTAAATAAAGTTCAAAAGAACATTATTTAAAATACAAATATTTTATAACATATTAAAAGTGTTTACTTGCCCTTTTAATTGTTGCATACTTTCTGAATAAAATAATTTATTTTCTTTATTTTTAAAAAGGCTTTCAAGTTAATATAAACCTAGTAAGATAAACATACTGTAAACCCAAACAAGCTATGGTACATTTAGACATTTAGGCCCACTGCTCCAGGTGTGTGTCTGTGTGTGTGCCTATACTTAACTATATTTTCGGGACAAATTTGTAGAAGTAACCAAAACCTGACAAAATCTCCAAAAACCTCCCTAAAAATAAAGTCATTAAAGGTTTTTAAAAATGATAGAATATACAGTTTGTACAGTTTAAAACCAATTATGTCTAAACAATTTTCCATTTACATAGCTAAGTAAACGTGTGTGTGTGTGTGTGTGTGTGTGTGTGTGCGCCTGTTCACTACTCACTGCTTCTAATGTGTTTGCACTAACTTGGATGGGTTAAGTGCTGAGGACATATTCTGAGTATGGGTTACCATACTCGGCCTTCACATCATGTCACTATATTACATTAAAATACTGTTAAGATTTAAGTAATCACATTTGTTTAGTGATTAGATTAACCACACCCTGGACAGCTAAAAATACTGATCCGTTGAGATGTATAACTACCGAGAGCAACTAATCCTTTTGTAGTTGTCTGTTTGAAACTCTATTTCGGGGAGCGGACAACTGATCATCCAGTGGCTGACGGCAAGATGATGCTTGACAGCTGTAAGAACATACCAGTAGGATAAATTTTCATCCTTTGATATGCCTGTAAGAGCTTCCCAAGTGACCTGCATTACAGCCTTCAATAACTCAAATTGGGCCTCTGCTAAAGGCAACTGACAACTAAATTGAATTGTTGATCAGTTGTCAGGAACACTGCTGTGATAAACACCACAGTTTACAGGGGTGTCAAACTCAGTTCCTGGAGTTTAGTTCCAACCCTGCTTCAATACGCATACCTGTAGTTTCAAACATGCCTGAAGGACTTGATTAGCTGGATGAGGTGCATTTGATTAAGTTTGAAGCCAAACTCTGCAGGGCTGTGGCCCTCTAGGAAGTGAGGGTATGTTTTCACAGCAACAATGTACTAAAAACGGCCAAAACGCATAAAAGGTTTTTTTGTTTTTATTTAAAAATTGTGTCGTGTAAACGGGCCCCCCTTTTGACAGCCCTGGCGGTGCGTAAATTGAGTTACCCCTCCCACTTCTGCTTACTGAGATTTTTTATGTGCGAATTGGCCATTATTATTACAGGCATCCTGTGGTAAAATTACATTACTCCATCTACCATTGTAAAACTAACAGCCATAAGCCCTATTCCCGTCCGAATAGGGCTTATGGCTGCCCAACTGATTACTTCATTTAAAATACATGTGATGGTCAAGTAGGGTAACTCATAGTCTGAAATTGTCCTCTGCATTTAACCCATCCAAGTTAGTTCACACACATTAGGAGTAGAGAGTAGAGAACAGACACACTGCAAGCAGTGGGCAGCCATTTTGTTGTTGCGCCCGGGGAGCGATTGGGGGTTTGGTGCCTTGCTGTGTTGACGTATATATTGTAAACTTACTTAGTTTTTACTCTTTTCCACAGAAGCAGAGATGGATCTAGGAAGGAAAGTTAGCGCACCAAAGGAAATCATGTTGGAGGAACTTTCCTTAGCATCAAACAGGGGCTCCCGTCTCTTTAAGATGCGTCAGAAGCGCTCAGAGAAATACACCTTTGAAAGTATTCAGAATGAAGCCAACACACAGCACAGCGTAAGTGTCATTTGTTACATAGAACACAGAGTCCGTGGTCCAAAAGCACAGAAGGTCTGTGTGTGGACCTATTCAAATAACCACAAATTCTCATTGTAGTGACCATTCCGTTTTTCTTTTCTCAGATTGATGCCATTTCTCTGGGCCCAAGTGCTGAAATGACAAACATTATGACAACAAATCATGAAAATTGTCTTGAAGTTGACCAGGCACACAATACACTCAACCCTGAGACTATTGCCCCAGGTTAGTCCACAGCAATTTCTTTTTTTAAGGGGTCCAAGGACCAAAGGTGCAGGAACCCCTACTGATGCTTTTTTTGCCAATTGTGAATTTTCTGCCCTAAAACAGACATCTTCAACCCTGCTCCTGGAGACACTGTCCAGCAAAGTTTATATCCAACCTGCTTTAGCACACCTAATTTCACACCAATGTGATTTTCAAGTGATCCTGAAGAGCTTGATTAGCTGGTTCAGGTGTGTTTGACTCTCCAGGACAGTGGGTCATGAGCAGGGTTAAAGAACTCTGCCCTAAAGGGGCATCTGGGCATCACATCTGGGATGTCTGGGCATCAGACATCACAAGTTGTAGAGACCTCAAACTTTGTTGGGATGGTTCCAAATCCCCCCTCACTACTCAGGCACCCCCACACACATGCGTTGGTCATCCCAAAACCCTGATGAAAGTTATCAAAATTCTTTTGATGAAGATATAAGCCAATTAAAGGCACAGTACGTAATTTTTCGCCACTAGAGGTTGTTTATTCAAAACAAAGGCGTAGCTTGATGACGCCTCGATTTCGCAGAATCATGGGAGTTTTTGTCTTCACCTCTACAGCCGGTGGAGAATATGACGGGCCTCGGACAGAAATCATTTTCATGGATGACCGGTAATGTATTGAAGATTTATTAACGTTACGAAAGCCTTTAGAGCGGAAAGTTGTTATAATGCTACTCTGTGCGTTTGCTCTGCGGCTACTATATGAGACACTTGTTGCACACTGCAGTGAGCTAGATTGATATTAGGTAAAACATGGTACTCACGGTAAATCAAGAAAACTAAATTTAAACAAAAAGACTAACTGTGTTGAGCTGTATAATAATGATTCGTTTTCTGTCAATGAATGTATCCAAACAGTGGCTGACCTGTCTAATAAAACACATAATATATTAAAGCGTCTTTGGTGTTTCCATGGTTTCTACAGAATAAAACCTGAAATCGGGGGTAACGCGGGTATGATGTCATTGATAGGCGACGCACGGACACAGTCTGTGTCCTGGTTAAAACTGCTTATTTCTCTGGATTTAAACATTCTTAGAAACATTTGGGATCATGTAAGTACAGGACTCAACAAAATGTATAATATAACAATATTCTAGTGCTTTTTGGATATTTTGATCCAAAAATCTTACATAGTGTGCCTTTAAATGGTCTAGTTTGGCCATTTTGACTATTGGCGCTTTTCCATTACCAGTACCAGCTCGACTCGACTCGCCTTGGCTCGCCTCGACTCGGCTCGCTTTTCGCTCCGTTTTCCATTGCAGAAAGTACCGCCACAAATAGTACCCGGTCGTCATAGCGACGCATTTCGTTCCCCCATCAAGCTCTCGCTGGATCCTCTCTTCGGCAACCAAACAAAGGAATGTCTGCACCTCCTCGTTTGACCACGACGTATTCTTCCGAGTTGCCATAATAATAGTAGTAAGTTTAGTAACTATCTCTGGCCAAACTATTTAAAAATGGCGGGGTTCTTCTGGATACTCCATCTGGCGCGTGCAATGATGACGCAGATTCTCTGTGACCAATCAGCAGTCGGCATTGTTTTCACGTCACATTTTAGTATCGGCTTAGCTCGCCTCAGCTCGCTTAGAACCTCGCCGGAGGTGGTACGAAAAAAAGTACCCGAAAGCAGGTACAGGTACAACTTTTACACAGTGGAAAACCAAACAAAGGCGAGTCGAGTCGAGCCGAGCCGAGGCGAGCTGGTACTGTGTAGTGGAAAAGCGCCATATGACACTGCTCAATGCAATGAACAAAACTTGATACTACAGAGCCCTTAAAGCAGAGGTGTCCAAGCTCGGCCCTCGAGGGCCACTGTCCTGCAGAGTTTAGCTCCAACCTCCCTCAACACACACCTGGAAGTTTCTAGTTTGCTTAGTAAGACCTTGATTAGCTGGTTCATGTGTGTTTAACTGGGGTTTGAGCTGAACTCTGCAGGACACTGGCCCTCCAGGAGCAGGATTGGACACCCCAGCTGTAAAGGGACATGGTGATGGGAAAAAATATGAGATGTTTTATGTTTCAACGCTTTTGCAATCTCAAAAAGGTTTTGCGAGCGAATGCATAGTTTCTCGGGGGAATGCAAAAGCACTGACATATTTTTTCCTGCGATCTCATATTTTTCCCATCACCATGCCCCTTTTAGGCTCCGTATGAAACTCATAGGCTGAGTCCGAAATCCCCCCATATACCCTCAAATAGGGCGTTACTTGAGGGGACAGCCATTTGTAGTGGTGTCCGAAACCATAGTGGACGTTATTGAGTGCACTCATTCAATCCAACATTGCACTGAAATAACGATTGTACATCCGATGTACGCTCAACGACTGTCCCGAATTCACTCACTCGTTTTCATCTACTCCTTCAAGTGAACCGTATTAGTGACATCAATAGTGAATGAGTGGTGGTTTAGGGGGCGATTTCAGTTTCAGCCATAGACAACAGGATATTCTGAAGATGCACACCAAATAATGTCAAAATCTGCCAATAGAGGGTGCTACAAATAAAAACCTGTCATAATTACATAATAATCATCACTAGGAACAGAACAGAGAAACGGAAACCAAAAGAGCCCACACGTGACAATGAATGTAAACTTTGATTATTAATGTACTGTTTCTGTGATGTATTTAATATACAGTATATAGCATTAACTGTTACATGCTGCACACTACATCATTTACATCTTGAGCATGTAATTCCCGTGTGAACAGTGGCCGTAGTGTCCTAACAGGAAGCTTGTTAAGTGTTTCCTGTGTCCTTTAAGTGGTGGCACAGAGACGCAGCTGTCCATGATAACATCTTAAACAGATCCTATCCTTAAAACTCCCTGATCTAGCCTTGGGGCTTTGCCATCCTTCCTAGATTGGTGGATGAGCACACATTTACCGCACGTCCAGCTATTTTAGTGTCTTTGAGGCTTCATTAAGATGGGGAGGGGATGATACGAAGACCGGCAGATGAATTTTTGATTATAAATAAACAAGATTAATATGATATAGTGTCACTGTGAGAGAGAGAGCAGACACTGGTTTCACGCTATGCATTTAAAAGTGATATCCGGAAGGGGGAAATATATATTTATATTTTATACAGAACAATATTTATCTGACAAAATTATTTGGCAAAAAAGGCAAACTATGGCTATAGGTTTTTTTACTATGCGAAATTAAATTCGTAGAATGACAAAAAGCTCACATGAAAAAAACACATTGACTACAACATAACGAGTTATTAATATTGCATTGGTTCTCTCTTGTTTGTGCATGTGTTCATAATCTCTTTGCATGACCAAAAATTATGTCCGCACAATTTGGAATGTTTCATTGCGATATCAAAAATCAAACAATTGTCTCCAAGCACACTATGCAATATGCTTACAAAATAAAAAAAAATAAAAAATAATAATAAAAAAGTATAAAATTTGAATAAATGTTCATTTTTCTAGGCTGGACATCATTAGACTAAAACTGAACTTTGATTTGACATGGCATATTTTGGGCGGTTAGTTACCTGTAAATGCATTACAAAGAAAGGAATTAAGTCTCAAATATTTTTCACTAACACCATCTTTCGACATTTTTGAGTGGATTACTTTTTCCTGTGCCACTAGTCAGCAAGCATAAATTGCCTCCTAATGAGAAATGTTTCATAGCTCATCAGCATCTTGATGTGTCAGAGCACTGCAGAAAACAGTGTCTAAAAACGAATCCCCCCTGCTGTATTATCATTTCTCTGAGGCCCGTTGAACTGCCCAGACCCTCAGCATTGCATTTTTTTAACCTTGAAGCCAAAAAACTCAGAAAGGAGATTGTCCACAGTATGAGGGTGATATGTGACAGAACACCCACATTACATAACTGCTGTTTTGGGCTTGCTGGCCCTGCCAGTGAACAGCGATTTGAGGTATACTCTTTTTGAAGGGTCCCCCTCCGTCCCCCCACAGCATGTTTTAGAACCTTGTGAAGCCTTTTACTGTAGATTAAATGATGACCAGACAGTAATATATCACTGTAGAAGCTAACAATACTGGAGCAGTAGCTAACAGTGTGCTAGCTGGTCATACAGAATAACAATAACCTAAAGGTAATGTAGTATAATAAGCTAAAGAGCTAAACCCTCACAAAATGTAGCAATATTACCTTTTTAACTTCCCTTGTGAAAAAGAAGTGGACTTGAATGTGCACTTGTAGTGTACTTCAAATCTGAATGTGCACTTGTAGTGTACTTCAAATCTTAAAACCTTTAAAAAAAACTGTACTTGCAGATCAAACAAATAAATAGATCAAATAAAAGGAGTCATAGGTGTACCCAGAAGAAATTTTTATTTCTCAGTGGTTGCTTTTCCTAAGCTCAGGAGACTTGTGATTCTCATATATCTCTCTTTTTAGTATCAACAGTGTCTCAGATGTTTCTTCTAAAATTCCTTAGGGGAAATAAAAGTAGACACAACTGAGAAAGTTCTGAGAGAAGGGGTCCAAAATGAGAATGAGCTGTGAGAAACCCGCCTGTTCTCACGTACCGGTAAATGTGCCTCAATAGCACCCATTGTGCATCATCGTGCAATTTATACGCGAAAATGAGTTTTTACGCATATGATACGCAGTTTTCGCGTGCATTTGATACGCAGTTCATTTGCGTGTAATACACACGCACCCCACACCACTAATTCTACCCAAACGTAGGCTATAATACACACGCACCCCACCACACCACTACTAAACCTACCCTAACCAACCCATGCGTATCCTATGCACGTAAAAACTCATTTTCGCGTATAAATTACACGATAAACAGAAACACACTGCGTGCTATAGAGACGCATTTAGTGTGATCGGGTTGGAAAAACATGTGTGAACTCTTTATTGTCTTGCTTTAATCTCTTTCAAGACTCTATTATATTAATGTTTTATTGCTCATAGTGTTATTCTGTTATGTTCTTGTTCTCTATGTTTAGTTACCAGTTATCGTTACCTGTTCTGTTTTACGTTGATACTCTCCCGGTGCATTTAACTCTCATCCTTCCCTCGCGTTTTGTGACAAATTCTTTCCTCGCGGGTCAAAATGACCCGTAGTCCTAAAATTATACTTTTTTTTGGTCCATAAAGCTTATTTAATTTATTTTGGACAATATTCTTTTCTACTTTTTAATGCAATTTTTTGGAGATTTTTTATGTTATTTACCTTTAAAGCAGCACTAAGTAGGAATTCCGTTTTTGTCAAACAGCGACCCCTAGAGTCGCTGTGGGGTACTTGTTTGTCGTGAATAGCACTCACGCAGAGATGGCTCGCACTCACGGCCGGATCCCCTCCCCCTGTACACCGGCACCTGTTCAGTAGGATGGACGCTGTAACGAGTGGAAATAAGGTATGGCCCCTTTAAGAGCGGCGCGCGCCCTGTTTAACTGTCGGCAGTCTGTATCGTATGTGCGCCTCGAACACCACATGTATACGGCGCCGGGTTATTTCTATTTGATGCTCATTTTATCAGAATTTTATCAGATCTGTTTTTTGCCGTAAAGCAATTCATTACCTCGCGAGACCTGATATCACATGATACTTCCTGACACTGAGGCCGGCCCAAAGTTGCAAGGGTGGTTTTGCGGCTCACAGGCGCCAGGGGGGTGCGAGACGACCACCATTCAACACGAAATCAGTAATATAAACATTACAATGACTCCAAAGCTGTTCGGTTAAGGTCAAAAAGTTACTTAGTTCACCTTTAAATTACTAGATTTTATCAATAAATAATGATTTAAGCACATTCTTTCAACTTAGATTCAAAACAACGAAATTGCATGCATAACTCTTTTAATTCAGCTCAAAATATCTTACATTGGGTGTCTGTGTCGACCTCTTGTGGAAGAAACATATATAACATGAGATTTCATGACTCTTGCCACTAGATGGCCTTATAGCTCTATTTGGATCAAATGAGCTGTTCCGCTGGGTCCTAAAGTCAGTTCTTTCAGAATGAATTTTGAGCATTTTTAGGTTTTTCTATGTGTACTGAAGCATTCCTCGCATTCCAATCATTTCTAAGGGGGTCAAATTGACCCGCGAGAGAAGGATTTATTACTTTTTTTTATTTCAACCACAAAAGTTTTTTGTGTATTCGTGGTTCAAGTCCGACAAAAGTCCTAGGGTCTTGGACCACTCCGATGAACACCCAATTTAAAAAAAAAAAAATAATAATTTAAAAATGAGTTTCGGGTCAAAATGACCCGAGGGAAGGATGAGGGCCCTCAGTTCTATCAGTTCATTTTTGGTCACATCAATGTTTAGTATAGTAGCTTTGTTTTTTCTCCAGTATGTTCTTCTGAGTTATTAAAGATTGTTCCCTTAAATCTCCAGTGCCATGAGTGTTAAAAAACGACACCCCGCACGTGATACAGTGGGTTTGCTCTTTCTGTTCTTTTATTTCTTATTATATTACATTTTGTCACTCTAGAGCAGGGGTCTCAAACTCAAATTAACTGGGGGCCGCTAGAGGTAGAGTCTGGGTCAGGCTGGGCCGCATCAAGTATTCCACAAAAAAATAGTATTCAAGTATTCCAAAAAAGGAGCACAACTGATCCAATCTTCTCAATATTTATTAACGTTTCTTCTGAACAGTTCCTCTGAATTTGAACATTCCTTTCTGTACATGATTGGTTCTTCATGAGCTGTCCTTCTGACAGTTGAAGTTCATTTTACAAACTTTCTTTGTCTATAACACATATTTGTGATATTTATATTTGCTTATGTCCTTTTTATTTTCTTTATACAACACATTAATGATATTGAATGTTTTTTTTGGAAGGCACATTTCCTTTTATTATACTTAGAAAAACAATTATTGCTTTTGAAATACAAATATTTGCAGTCATGTCTGCCCGTCTTATTGAATTCTTTGTATAGTGTCTCAAATTACTGACTGCACAAATCAAAGCAAACCTTCTTATGAACCTGTTGGACACATATTACAAGCTCAAAGTGATTATTCTCACATTGTTTTAGAGCAGGGTCTCTCTCCAACACGTCGCTCGCGAGCTGCCAGTAGCTCGTGGTCTGATTGGTGGTAGCTCGCCAAGGGGCCGTTCACATATCGCGCTCACATATTTTGCGCGCTCAAGTTCGTAATTTCAAATGTAGGCGCGCGGCAAGCGCGCTCATAATTGAAGCGACGCGCTCATTTTTTCCAGGCGCAGTATGTTTGTACTTCGCGGTTGTCTATGACAACTATTGACAACAAACCCTCCGTAAGCTGTCACGAGACTATCTATGGTAGCTCATAAGGGATACATTTTTTTTTTTTTTTTTTTTGCGGCACACGCAACGACGGGCCGCACTAACATTAAACTTTAATGTCAAGTAGGGGGCCACAAAATATCACCCCGCGGGCCGCGAGTTTGAGACCCCTGCTCTAGAGCAACAAGGCTCACAGTGTGAACGAAGCCTAAGCTCAGTAAACTGATGGGGTGATTCACTTTCACTTATTCTTACCAGTAACAATTCAATTAGAGAGCTCTACATTTGTCTGTTCTCTCTTTTAAATGCTCATTTTTCATTTTCTGACACGTGCTTTGTCCACTTTTGTTTTCACTTGAACTTCTTGTTTTTTTTTTCAGATGTCTTTCAGATGTCAGTCTTTTAATCCCTAACTGTGTTTTTGGTAACACTTTGCTTAAAGCCTTTATGTATAATGCATTGTACAGGTATTCATAATGTATGTTATTATGCATAATATCTTTTCATAAATAATTGTAACCAAAGTTAAAGTGCATTATATTTACTGATTCCTTGTTGCATCTGATTTTTTTTTGTTTGTCATGCGTTTTAATGCATTATATTTTCTAAAGGTGTGTTCAATGAATAGATAAGTATTATAATAGCTAGGGTTACAATAATTCATGAGATAATAGGTGCATTATAAGGCATAATTAATGCATTAGAAATGTCAAAAAATGCATTAAAAAAACTCCTTTTATTATGCATTATTGTATACACTCACCTAAAGGATTATTAGGAACACCATACTAATACTGTGTTTGACCCCCTTTCACCTTCAGAACTGCCTTAATTCTACGTGGCATTGATTCAACAAGGTGCTGAAAGCATTCTTTAGAAATGTTGGCCCATATTGATAGGATAGCATCTTGCAGTTGATGGAGATTTGTGGGATGCACATCCAGGGCACGAAGCTCCCGTTCCACCACATCCCAAAGATGCTCTATTGGGTTGAGATCTGGTGACTGTGGGGGCCATTTTAGTACAGTGAACTCATTGTCATGTTCAAGAAACCAATTTGCAATGATTCGAGCTTTGTGACATGGTGCATTATCCTGCTGGAAGTAGCCATCAGAGGATGGGTACATGGTGGCCATAAAGGGATGGACTAGCCTCGTGAGACCATCCTGATCTCGCGAGCTTTCAAGGTTTCACTCGCAGATCAGTCTGGATACTTTCCGTTAAAGAAAATTTGGGAGCAGTTCACCAAACGAACGTCCAATCAGCGTTGGCTTTGAGGCGGGTTGAGGTGTGACGCAACGAGAAGCGCGTCAGTTCAGTCTAAAGAACATGTCGGCTTCAGCGGATGAAACTAGCATCAGCGTGGCTATCGAGCAAGTTTTATCGGAATTACAGAGTATTTCTTCACTGAAAGAAGAGCAAAACACTGCTCTGGAGGCTTTTCTCAGAGGAAAAGATACGCTCTGTTAGTACGTCATATGCTTCGTTGATCTGATTGGTTGATTTGGCCCGTCTATCACCAACATAGGCCAATCAGCTAACCAGTATTTTCGCCCCTTACCAAAACTACTTCAACGGAAGGTTTCCAGATGGATATGCGGAGCAAATCCATCTGGCGGAGTCAGGTTAGGGATGGACATGGTCAGAAACAATGCTCAGGTAGGCCGTGGCATTTAAACGATGCCCAATTGCCACTAAGGGGCCTAAAGTGTGCCAAGAAAACATCCCCCACACCATTACACCACCACCACCAGCCTGCACAGTGGTAACAAGGCATGATGGATCCATGTTCTCATTCTGTTTACGCCAAATTCTGACTCTACCATCTGAATGTCTCACCAGAAATCGAAACTCATCAGACCAGGCAACATTTTTCCAGTCTTCAACTGTCCAATTTTGGTGAGCTCTTGCAAATTGTAGCCTCTTTTCCCTATTTGTAGTGGAGATGAGTGGTACCCGGTGGGGTCTTCTGCTGTTGTAGCCCATCCGCCTCAAGGTTGTGCGTGTTGTGGCTTAACAAATGCTTTGCTGCATACCTCGGTTGTAACGAATGGTTATTTCAGTCAAACTTGCTCTTCTATCAGCTTGAATCAGTCGGCCCATTCTCCTCTGACCTCTAGCATCAACAAGGCATTTTCGCCCACAGGACTGCCGCATACTGGATGTTTTTCCCCTTTTCACACCATTCTTTGTAAACCCTAGAAATGGTTGTGCATGAAAATCCCAGTAACTGAGCAGATTGTGAAATACTCAGACCGGCCCGTCTGGCACCAACAACCATGCCACGCTCAAAATTGCTTAAATCACCTTTCTTTCCCATTCTGACATTCAGTTTGGAGTTCAGGAGATTGTCTTGACCAGGACCACACCCCTAAATGCATTAAAGCAACTGCCATTTGATTGGTTGATTAGATAATTGCATTAATGAGAAATTGAACAGGTGTTCCTAATAATCCTTTAGGTGAGTGTATAAGGGCTTTAAGTAAAGTGTTTCCATGTTTTTCTTTATCAGCATTTTTTGTCATTCAGCATGTCTTGTAAATGTTTATGCCTTATGGTCAAATAAATCTTTTTTCCCCCATGCTTTCAACAGGCTATGGTGGTCCCTTGAAGGATGTTCCAGCAGAGAAGTTCAACTGTACAGCAATGCCCAAATCCTACCAGTCCCCCTGGGAGCAGGCCCTCGTCAGTGACCCCTCTCTGGCCGAAACGCTGGTCGCCCGCATGCCTGAACCTGACACCAGACATGAGATACCTCAATACAAGAGCTTTAACAGGTCTGTGCTCTACTCAAAACTTGTAAGAAATCTAAATAACCATACAAAATCTAGTTTATAAGTCATCTTTATTGCAAAAAAAGGGTACAAATCACAAGTGACTAACCAAAATATACATAACAATATACAAGATTATAACACGTAAACAGAATGTTTTGCCAGGATGGGCCATTACAAATAGAAAGAGGACCATATGTTGACAGTTTTAACTGCCGTTTTGTTGTTGGAGCCAGAAATCAGATTGATATAATGAACAACTTCATGGAGAAAAAGTACCAAATTAGTTTTTTTGGCACTGAATTTACATTTATGAATGTGAAATTTTGCCAAAAGAATTAATACATTTATAATGAAGTACACTTTGACTTCTATAAAAGCCAAATACAACATTCTTCCACAATAAGGCAAAGTCTTTATAAATATGGTCAATGATGAATCTGCTGAGGTTTTGCATTTTTTGTCATTTTCGCGGGTGGAAAACGTTTCCGTTTTTAGTACATCGTTGTCGTGCGAAACGTATCCTTAGTTACCATAACATTACTACAGATCATGCTCAGCTTATTGCTCTGGTCCATTCTAGTGTAATGCCCAATTTTCACAATCAAATCAATTCCCAGCGGATAAAATAATAATGGGCCATTTTTTTCATGAATATTCTCTCGCATATGTAAATATGTCAAATTACAAAAAAAAAAATGGTTTACAAATGCTGTGCTATGTTGACTTTTAATTATGTTGGAAACCTGCCTGAACATGTTTAATGAGCAGAAAGATGCCATCCAGCAGTATCTGAATTAGAGCCAGTCAGCAAGATAATCTGATGAAGTGGGTAAAATGATCTAAAATGTTGCAGGGTTACAGTATATACTACACTTTTTGCTGTGATTGTTTCTATTGAGTTGTCTTACAAAACCATAAAGCTCTCATTACTGTCACTTCTCTAATTGAAGGGTGGCTATTCCATTTGGTGGCTTCGGCAAGGCACCCAAAGCCCCTGTTAAAGCTCTTGATGTGGAACCCGGCCACGCCATTCCAAGTCCCATGGCCAGAGCACCTGCCGGGGTCAAACGGCCCACCTTTAACAGAACCGCCTCAGGCTGGGTTGGTGACAGTGCTCCTCTGATACTTCCCAGCATCTCCCTTGAGCCCATATCATCCATGTCTTCCACATTTATCCCAGAGTCAGACGACCTCTGAGCATTATCCTTGTTTTTGTGAACTTCATTATCACTGGAATACACACTACCGGTAAAAAGTTTGGAAAAAGTATTAATCTATTATTAATGTTTTTGAAAGAAGTCTTTTATGCCCACCAAGCCAATATTTTTTTTTTTTTTTTTTAAATACAACAAAACAGTAATATTTTATATATTGTAAAATTTAATTTATTCCTGTCATGCAAATCTGAATTTTCAGCATCATTACTCCAGTCTTCAGTGTCACATGATCCTTCAGAAATCAATCTAATATGCTGATTTTCTGCTCAAGAAACATTTGCTTATTATTATTAATGGCGAAAACAGTTGTGCTTCTTTCTTTTTTTTCTTTGTGGAAAGCATGATATAACTACCATTCCAAAGTTTGTGGTAAGTAAGACTATAAAAAGATGAAGAAGTTAAAGGGGTCCTATTATGCCCTTTTACGAAGTCTTGATTTTGTTTTTGTGGTGTACTAGAATATGTTTTCATGCTTGATTGTTCAAAAAACGCATTATTTTTACATATTTTACATTATTACAGCTCCTCTCTCCCCAGTCTGTTTTTTGATGAAGCCCTGCCTTCCGAAATACGACATGTGCTGTGATTGGTTAGCTGGCCCAGTGTGTTGTGATTGGCACGCTTAGCACGTGTTTGGGAAATGTCCCGCCCCTTCATAACCCGTGTTCTTTCTCTAGTGTAAAAATAAATAAGGATGGTGTCAATTTCAAACCATTTCGAGCTTGATTCAGACCCTGACAATGTTAACGAACAAGAGGATTTTGCTGAAGTATGAATTTCACAGGACGTTTCAGAGTGGTACGTTTTATTATTCCTTATAGATATGATGTCCGCCATTTAATCATATTTGTCGGAAAACTATGGTAATACAAACAGTAATCCATCACAAAATCATTGATAATTTTCCTAAGGGGCGGGGAACAGTCTTACAAATGCAAGGGCTACATAAACACTACATCAACACTGTAATGTTAGCAGGCAAGCGGAGGCAAAGCTTTGCCTTTCAATTACATCATAGCTTAGCAAATACTTAACTTATAATTGTAACTTTTAATAGAAAACACAACTACAAATAATAAGACATACAAGTTGTGAAATATGAATCCGCACAACTGTTTTCAACATTGATGATAATAATAAGAACCAAATAATTGAGCAGCAAATCAGCCTATTAGAATGATTTCTGAAGGATTTCTGAAGTGACACTAAAGACTGGAGTAATGATGCGGAAAATTCTGCTTTGCATCACAGGAATGAATTATATTTTATATACATAATATATTATCATAGAAAACAATTGTAATAATTGTAAGTATACTTGGATCAAATAAATGCAGCCTTGGTGATCAGAAGAGAATTCTTTCAAAAACCTTAAAAAAATCGTAATTATTCCAAACTATATGATGGAAGTGTAAAACACCTGGAATGTGTGTAAACAAAAAGTAAATGTAGCATACTGGAAACCTAAGACACTGAAGTAAGGCTATTATATGGCATGCAGTGACTGATTTCTGATGGATTATTGGAAATGTTGATCTATACCATTTCACTAAGCAAATGTTACCCAAAGACTAGAAGGGCAAGCCAATCTGCCCATATAGACCTGTAAATATGTATTTATCAACATTTGTTTAAATGATTGAATAAACAAAGCATTCAATGAACTTGTGTTTCCATTTAAACAATTTTCAAAAGTAGCTTTTTGGCATTAACACAGCATGCACTAGTAGTAAATTAGAGTCCAGTATATGACTACTGTACGCACTGCACTGCTTGTGTCAGTTTTTTCCACTATCAAGGTTAGAGTCTCCAGGGCTGACAAATTGAATCTGTTTTCCTGACGCAGCCGAGATGAGCGATGGGTCTCTTGCCTTTTGTAAGGCTGCTGTCTCTTGCATTCGATCAGACAGCCGCTGATGGGCACAGCACATGTCCATCACAGCTCAACTTCAGCCCGTTTACACTCAGCTGGGTCTGTGCTTAGCATAAAACAGATCCAATGACATAAAAGGGAAAACGAGGTGAATAAGAAGCAGCTTTGACATTTTTCATCACATACAATGTTCTCGAGGACCTTCTGCAGTCAAATATTTTTGAATAATTGATCTTAGAAACCGATTTGTGCGGTGCCAGGGAGGGAAGTGGTTTATTATGTACATTATGCATAACAGATTATCTACTTTGCTGAAAATTATAGTTACGTTTGTTTCACAAGGTTGTTGCTGTCAGTGTGGTACAAAATTTCTATTTGGTGAGAAAGCATCAGCTAAGAACATGTACACTTTTGGTGTATACTATGTAACTTTTTTTGTTCAAAATTTAAATAATGAGTCAATACATCATTAATCCAAGGAAGTACCGTGTTTATTACTGTGTAAATCTACAGTAACGTCTTCAGTTAGTAAGCTTGAGATCTAAACTGGTTATATCTCTTAAGCCTAGTAGTGAATGTTTTATGAGCAGTATGATAACCATATTACCGATAACCTTTAAAGAACCATTTCTGCCAAAAAAGTCTCTATACAAAGAGAAATGTCTTAAATGATTGCAATACTTTTATGTTTAACGGGCTATTTAAATTTGTTCTAGTGACGAAGTATGTTTACGAGCTGTTTAATTCATACAATTTCATTCAAATTAAAAATGAATTAAAAAAAAAACATGAATTAATTTAAACTTGATTCCTAAAATGATGATGGGAACCCCTGAAATGTTCTATATATGAAGCGTCTGACAGAAATATTTAGAACCTTTTCTTCTAAGAGTGTAGAAGAATTGGTGACCAATATTACAGGATGTAGTATTACAAATGAAAGCAAAGTTGTTGTGTTTCTTTTAGAATGGGATGCACAGGACTATGCCTTGTCATATCTGCTTAATTATAAGACACTGAGCAGTTGAAATCCTTGACCGCAGCATAACATTGAGTAAAGTCCTTATAGCTAACTGAGTGTGTCGGCAAACAGAAGCTGCTGGAGAAAAGCCAACCAATTAGCCTCAGCCTGAGTCAGAAGAAAACATGCTGATGTTCAGTTGCTTGCCTTTGTGTCTTTGTTGTGTAGATTGCAGATGCAGATGATCTAACTGGATAATAAATGATATACTGTGAGTATGGTCAACACACATGCTTAACGTTACCTCTACACAGTCTACATAAATGCTAAAGCAGTGCTGTGGGATAAATATGTGCACGGTGGCCAACCTGATCTCATGGTAAAACGTAAATAAATACATTTGTACAATGTGAAACGCACAAAAAAAAACTTTTTTTAAGTAATCATGAAGGACCACCTGCAAACAACCCCATAACTGGAGTGTAAACAGCGACAAGACTGTGGGAATTCATATGAATTAGTCACCGCCCAAAACTTATAAATAGTTATAAATTAATTACTATGAGATTGTGTTGCTGTGGCAGATATACGCTGATTTCACGTAGCCGCCATTTTAAAATGCTCTGGTGGGAAGAAAACCGGAAGCGTCGCCTTTAATCATAGGAGAGTCGCGAATGCGATGGCGTATTGTTGTGTTTAATATAGAAATTAGTTATTCTAAAAATTGTACATACATTTCTTTCATACTTTAGACTATATACAGTGAAATTCATTTATAAATAATTTTTTATATATATATGTATAATTCAGAACGTAAAAAAAGAAGCAGAAACGAACTATATGCATATCCTATATTGGATATTAACATCCAATAGTGTAAATCGCGGCAGCAGCTTCAGGTTGGTAGTACAAGGCATTGTTGTCTATCTGTACTTCCGGGGTTCTTCCCACCGGAGCCTCGCTTTGGATTTCAAAATGGCGGCTGCGTGAAATCAGCGTATTGCTGTTCAAAAACATGAAAAAAACATAATAGACCAATATGGATTTTTAGTGGTTGATTATTAAATGATTAGTTTTTGTTTTCACTGATAGGCAAGGCAAGGCACCGGTAGGCAATTTTAGGACCATTAGGATTTTTTTCCAGAACTCATTTCCATAGTGATTCCAATAATAAAAATCGTGTTAAAAATCACAATTTTATCTCTTATTGTCAATACCGTAATGTTAAAAAACGAGCTCATTCACATTTCTGTAATGCAAGAAAATTGGCATTCTCATTACTGTAATGAAATGCTAGTGCAGGACTTTTTGTGGTAATCGTTTTCATAATTGTCATAAAAAATAATGCCACCATTCAGGAAAGCAGGCCCTAAAAATTTGAGACTCTTGCCAAAATAGAAATAGGATATACCCAATATCCCATTCGCAGTGGACATGGCTGTATTCCTAAACACTGTCTGTTTGATTGCTGTTGGAAAGACTCGAGTCGTCCCCCTCTGACAGGGGTCTTTGAATTCCTACAAACCCTCAAGGAACTGTGACCCCGAGTTTCTTTTGAAATAGTTTATCAAGGGTTTGGTGGAACTCTCTTTTTATCTTTGTAACATATTAAGCCTGTGAAAATAAATATATTTGAAATGCACCTGTTTGCACCACTGGGGGATGGGGGTTGGCCGGCAACTAGCTATAAATCACTGAACTCAGTATGGTGTAAAGAACAGTTGGGCGTTTTCAGTTCCAGTAGGTCTTTGATCAACATCTAGCCAGAGCAGCGAGTGCCACCTCCCTAATGTCAGATCTAAAACTACACAAGTGGACTACTTCCTCTTAACTTTGACTTTGGGCACAGCTATTAAAGTCTTCAAACAGCAAATGCAGTAAAAGTACACTGTAAAAAGTGATCAGTTGACTTAAAGGTGAACTAAGTAACTTTTTTACCTTAACCGAACAGCTTTGGAGTCATTGTAATTTTTATATTACTGATTTCGTGTTGAATGGTGGTCGTCTCGCACCCCCCTGGTGCATGTGAGCCGCAAAACAACCCTTGCAACTTTGGGCCGGTGGGCCGGCAGCCTCAGTGTTAGGAAGTTTCATGTGATATCAGGTCTCGCGAGGTAACGAATTGCTTTACGGCAAAAAACAGATCTGATAAAACTCTGATAAAATCAGCATCAAACAGAAATAACCCGGCGCCGTATACATATGGTGTTCGAGGCGAACATACAATACAGACTGCCGACAGTTAAACAGGGCGCGCGCAGCTCTTAAAGGGGCCACACCTTATTTCC